GCCTCCCTCCCTCCCTCTCTCTCTCTCTCTCTCTCTCTCTCTCTCTCTCTCTCTCTCTCTCTCACGGAGCTGCATACAGTATCCTGCAATCCCAAATAAAAAATGTTTGATTGGTAGGAATACGAGGTGGGGAATTTTCCTGCAGACTTTTGGGGGGAGTTTTCCCAGGGTCTCTGGTCCACGGGATTTAAAATTATGAGTTTGGTGGTCCCAGAGATGTAAAAGATTAGTGACCCCTAGACTAGAAGACCTCCCAAGTCCCTTCCCGCTCTGCTATTATTCTATATTCTAAACGCTGTTACTCACTTAACAAGGTGTGACAAGAAAGACGGGGCAAACATTACTTCACAACAGTCTTTCTTGGCAACCCAAAATTTGGGGCTCCCTCATTGTGGACATAAATCAAGGACTATAGGGCATGGGCCACCTGGATTTCAGGACCCTGGAGAGTTCTACCTGTAAGTCTACGTTGCCTCGTCCTGCCCAATGCTATAATGAATACCGCCAAGACCGAAGGACGTTGCAATGTCATTTCTGATGCAACGCACAACGGCAAGTATCATCCTTTCCTCACCGCTGTTAAAGGTCCATAAGATGGTGTGGCAGTCCGAGCGGCAACTACAGACACAACTATTTCCCTGGCACTTTACTTTCTGCTAAATACACGTCTTACAACAGTTCATTTGGCGAGCGTGACAACGATGCTGAAAAAAAAAAAACCCTGACTTTTTCATATGACCATTGCGTCATCGCCAGAGTCATCTAATCAAAATTCGGATGCTGGGCAACTGACTCGTACTTATGACAGTCGCAGTGTTCCCGGGGTCACACGATGATCCCATTTGGCAGACCAGGAAAGTCAAGGGGAAAGTGGGGTTCCCTTTAACAACCGGGTCGCTAACTTAATAACTTGCAGTGATTCACTTAACAATGGTGGGAAGAAAGGTTGTGCAATGGGGCCAAACTCACTTCACAAGTGTTTCAGTTTACAATGGAAACTTTGGACTCAATTGCCGTCGTAAGACAAGGACTACTTGCATTGGTCCAGGTCAGGGAGGGGTCTCCAAACTTGATAACTTTAAGACTTGTGGACTTCGACTCTCTGTGCTGGCTGGGGAATTCCACGAATTGAGGTCCACATATCTTAAAGAATGCTGGCTGGGGCATTCTGGGAGTTGAAGTCCACCCCTCTTAAAGCATGCTGGCTGGGGGATTCTGGGAGTTGAAGTCCACTCCTCTTAAAGCATGCTGACTGGGGGATTCTGGGAGTTGAAGTCCACCCCTCTTAAATCATGCTGGCTGGGGGATTCTGGGAGTTGAAGTCCACCCCTCTTAAAGCCTGCTGGCTGGAGGATTCTGGGAGTTGAAGTCCACCCCTCTTAAAGC